GCTTTGTGTAGACTCATTTTCTTTGAACCATCTGAATTTTTTTCAAGAGCGTCTTCTTATAGCCTCAGGTAGCCTTGAACTCTCTATGTAGACTAGACTGGCCTTCATCTCACAGAGATCTATCTACTTCCACCTCCCAAGTTCTGGAATTAATGGTGTGTACCACCAAGCCTGGCCCAACATCTGAAATCTTTAAAAGAGTAAAATCAAATAGTTTTCCTCTTTAAATTACAACATATAAAATCAAACCCACATTAAATAGGAGTGAAAGGTGTGGATATTCTGCCTGTAGAATAAGTGTCATCTTATGCTGACCTCCTACATAAAAGTCATGTCTTCCTTCCTGTTGAGAGACAATAGTTTAAAAAAAAATAAAAAAAAAGACACACCCTATTTGGAGTTTGTAGAGGGTTTTCTTGTGTGCCAGGCAAGATACAAGGAGATGGATATTGAATCATTGAATCTCAGCAGCTCTTCTGTGATGTAAGAAATACTACAGAGCTAGAGAGATGGTTCCATGGTTAAGAGCACTGGCTGCTCTTACAGAGGACCTGGGTTTGATTCCCAGCACCCACATGGTAGCTAACAGCTGTCTGTAACTCCAGTTCCAGGGGATCTGATGCCCTCTTCTGACCTCCATGGGCATTACACAACATAGGTGCACCTACCCACATGCAGGCAATACACTCATACACGTAAAGTAAAAATAATAAATAAATATTTTACACTATATTAAATAGTTACAATTATGAAAACTGAGGGTGGGATGCAGGAAGCAACTTGCCCACAGTGAGAGTGAGCAGCTTGTAAAGTGAGAGCAAAGGAAGTAAAGAACAAACAAGTTGAGCCCCTTTCACACCCCAGAGGTTGGGGGACAAAGAAACAATGTCCTAGGTTTGAAAAAATGCTGGCAAAACAGAGACTATTAACAAGGTTTTAGGTCATTCACCTTCCCCTCTTTCTCCTGCCCAATCCAGTGCCAAGTCAAAACCAGAGGAGAAGAGGGCCAGGCTCACCATCTGCCTGGCTTCCTAGTGAAAGTGGAAACCATAAACCACCCTTCACTGTCTGTCCCACCAGAATTCTCCTGTCATACCTACAGTACAAAGAACTGCCCACATTCTACCATTAAGGCCTGGCAATATAGAGATGTGAAGTAAAAATCGGGCTGTAAGTTGCTTCACTTAAGTTTATTAGTAAACAGGTAGCCATGACTGGTAAGTTATTCAACTTCCTGCCAAGTTCAGAAAGACAAGGTCAGCTTTGATGTTGACATTATGTACACAATCACTAGTTTAAAATACTGCAAGACTCTAAACCTCCTCCCACCTCCAAGCACTCCTAGATCTTCCATGATCAGATGGTGTTGGTCCCCATGCAGCTCAGTGTCTCCAGGCTGATGTTCCTGCTCTTAGTCACTTGCTATCTGTTGTGACCTATTAGTGCCTATGGCAGTGTCTACAACTGACCTTAGAAGATCCATAGCCTCACTAGGGCTTTGATAAAGAACCCACAAATTGTGCTCCGCATGGCAATGTCTAGGTGACATCTCCCGTTCCATAACAAGACTAGTAATTATGGTGCTTTGATCACTTAAGGAACAAGAAATAACCTCTTTACAATCCTAAAATGGCCCAAATGTATCATTTTTAAAGTCTCATTGTGCTTTCTAATGAGCTAGTGAGATTCTTAGGAGTGTAGTTACACTGCCTCTTCATAGACCAGAAAGCAAGACTACAGTTTTCACATCAGATCAGGTATATGAAAGTCTTCTAAGTTTGTAACTGGCTTTTTCTCTAGATAAGGAGATGAGATGTACCCCTGGGACAGGAAACAGCAGGTATTTCTCTAAGCCAGAGCCAAGAGTTAAAACACAGCAGGTTCCATAGCTCCATGGCAAAAATTCAAATCAGGGACACTCTCAAAAATTTCTTTCCTCTCCCTAGCAAACCTAATATAGATCAAAGGAGGTTAGGGAGGAAGAAGGGAAGGAAGGAAGGAAGGAAGGAAGGAAGGAAGGAAGGAAGGTTCTCCCTTTAACAGATGTATATGCTGTATAACAAACAGTTATTTTTGATCAAATGCTTTTTTTAAGATTGGTTTATTGCATATCAACATTTCAAAAGAAATGTAAACTCCAGCCTGAGTATCAAGGATGCTTCAGAAAACAGCCCAGAGCATCTAACATGACTGTAGATGATAATGCCACTGAGGTTTTCCCACTTCCTCCATGGAAAGGTAACAAATGGCCAAATTCCTCAAACTGTAAGCATAAAGATAAAACTAATCTATAAATCAGTGAAAGTTTACACAGACCGGGAAGCTCTATTAACTTTCATGCTTCCCAAGTTGGTTCACAAACCTGGTAGTTTTCAGATTGTGTTTTTCCAGGCCAGCAGCAGCAGTCACATTATTTAAGACCCTTGGAGAAAGGAATACTCTCAAGCCACATTCCAGAGTTGAATCAGACACAGGAGCAACCTGGCAATCTGAGGGCTACCACACCTTCTGGGTGCTTCCAACAGTTGCTTGATCTTGCTGGTGTCTCTCAGAGTATCACATGAAATGTGTAGGAAACACAGCACTATCACAGTTTTGCATAAGAAAGAACAAAGGTTCAGAGAGGATGAGTTACTTGCCTGAAGTCACACTAATTGGTGAGGGAACCAGCAGGTAAACGCAGGCCTTGAACTAAAAGATTTAGTTCTCTTTTACCTTTAAAGCACAACCTCACATAGATGCAACAGAAGCAGCCAGACTTGTTCAAGTGGCTTGTTTCTAGAAGGGGAAGATGAGTGAGGGTAATGCCTCCGGACTAACTAAGGTTACGCTAAGTAAGTCTGGGCTCCTCTTATGCACAGATCACAGAACAAGACAGCCAAAACACCTGCAGAACAGTTCGCCACAGTCCAGTGAACCTGTCCCCTGGGGCAGTCTGTTTGCTCTTCAAGAAGACCTGAAAATCTCAGGGATCACTCTCAAATGTCTGCCCCCTTCAACAAGCTTTCCCAGAAACGCAGGGGTCAATGTTTAGGGGACTCTCTTTTCTTCCAGTGCCATCTAACTAGGGGCTTCTGGTCTTCTCAGTGCATCACTCAATCTCTCTCTCTGACAACTTGTATCTCTCCATTTCCCATGTCCTGTCTATAACAGCAGGGATTTTATCTACTTTCTCCATCACCCCAGAATGTGAGCAAGGAATGTTTATTACATAAATGCATGTAACACAAATTACCAACCTGGATATTTCAAATGTATTTTCACAGAAAATCTTCATTCTTAAAGTCTCATTTGCTCCCAAATCAAATATAGCTTAAAATCATCAGTGGAAAAAAAAAAAAAAAGGCACCTGAAAACAAAACAAAAGCGACCGTCAAAATTTATTCTCTTTGATATCAATATTCTGTCATCTCTCTCTCTCTCTCTCTCTCTCTCCTCTCTACTGTCACCTGTATCCTATCTCATCACTTTACCTTTCCCTCTCTCAGTAGATTCATCATCACGTTAACTCTCTATGTAAGGATGTCAAGATGGACAAGACTGTTTTCTTTGTTGAACTGCACTTCTTGTTTCTTGACACAAAACATTTCATCTGTGTATGAATTTACTGTTTGGTTACATTCCATGCACATTTCATGTCCCATTAAATCGGGACAGAAAGGGGAGAAGTGCAAAGCCCAGGGTAAAATGAGCATTGTCTACAGCCTTGCCTACATCATTTAATAACTGGCATGCGATTTCAAGGAAGCTGTAGCTCATACTGCAACTTCCGTTTGTGCTTCCGACTGGACAAAATATAGACACAGACGCACTCAGCTAAGTAATTGGATTCGCTACCTGGAATATTTAAATTGTTTTCAGGCACTGGAAATTGGCTTAAGAAGATTAAAGAAAAATACCCAGGAGGATAACGGGCTATAATTTACTAGGTGGAAAAATCTTTTCAGCAAGCAGACTGCCTCATTCTCCTATAGTTCCTCCTGATTAAGAGATGTAGTAGTCATTCGGATTTAAACTTCCTTAGATCCTGACAGCTCGGGTTCATTCTGCAGTTGTTCTCGTCAATCCCTTTGAATACCACCCAGAAAGTTAAACTGATAGCATAAATGTGCATCCCATCCACGGGTTTTCAGCGGGAATTCTCCTTTAGATGCTCTGAAGGCAACTAAGGTGGGGGCAAGGAAGACGTAGGTCTTAGGAAACCCTGGGATCCAGACAGTTGATCTGGCTCTATCCTACAAAGTAAAAGGCACAGGCAGGTACCTAAGAAGGGAACGTTTGGGATCTATTTTCCAGCGAAGACCAGCCAGCTCATTTCTCAAAACAGCCCTCTCCGCCTGCCTGGAGGCCCGCTACGCGCTTCTTGACCCTTCCGGACCCCCTTCGGGTCACTAGCCTGACCCTGGCGAGCCCTCTCCAGCCCTTCTCAAGGCCCCTCACTCTGGAGCCAGGCGCTAAAGTTTGGCATCACCGACCACCTGTCGGCTGGCCGCTGTGTCCTCTGCCGCGTGGCTAGCATCAAAATGCTGACGGGTTCGCAGTCACTGCAGGATTTCGGACCTGGGGGCCGTTCCTTCTTGAAAGAGGGCAAAGGAGGTCACTGGAGCCTCAGCCAGCCGAGAGGGGCGCGTCTGGCTCTTTCCAGCGCTCTCCAGCTGATCCCAACTTCTCGCTGTTTCCAAACTCTCAGTACCTGTCCCCGGGCTTAGCCTATCCCTTTGGCTCCGCTGACTCCGAAAACTGAAGTCCCTCAGGGGGCGCTGGCCAGATCCAGCAAGGATGTCAACTCCAAACCCGAAGGACCGCAGCGGCGCGCAAAGCTGCCGCCCTCTGCCACCCACCCGGCAGCTGACAACCTGCGCGCCCCAGGCTGCTCCCCAGGCTGCGCCCAGGCTGCCCGCGCCCAGCACCCCATTGCATAACGCGCCCCTCGCCCCACCCCCACGCAGCCCGCCCTCGGGTGCCCAGCCGGAACCCCAGCCACACCGCCCCTCACTTACATCATCCCACTTGACGAATTTGGTGCCCTTCTTGAGGCTGTCGGACACGCACACGGGCTTGAGTTGCAAGGCGTGCACTCCGGGCTGAGCCCCGGCCATCTGGGCTCATGAGGGCTCCGGGCGGCCCGGGCGAGCACAGCGGGGACGGGCGCGGAGCGAAGGGGCTCGGCTCGGGGCTCGGCAGGCGTGGGCTCCGCCGCCCGCCGGCCTCCCGGCCTCCCGGCCTCAGCACCTCTGGCCCGCGCGGCTCAGCAGGCGGGACACGCGAGGGCGCAGCCGGCCATGCCGCGGGCGGGACGCGGGGTCGGGAGCCCGCGGTGGATGGCGAGCCTCGGAAGACGCAGAGGAGCCCGGCCGGGCTGCGCCAGCCGCCCGCAGCCTCCGGATCCTGATCGGCCGCCGCCTGGAAGCGCACCATTCAGCACATCCTCGGTGCACAGAGGGAGAGCGCGAGTGACACGCTCGTCCCCTCCTCCCTCCGCTCCTCCCGCCCCTGCTCCACCACCCTCGCTCGGCGGTCCTCCTCCCCCAGCTCCCTGCCCAACTTTGCGCGCTGGGTCAGCGGCGGGAAGCGGGGACGCAGCGGCACCTCCCGGCGTCTGGGCCCCACTGCAGCCGACGCCTGCACCGGGCGCCCTCTGAGCATGCCCCGTGCCCGAGCCTGGTGCCTGCGCTGTCCCGGAACCCCTGGGCCCGGGCCTTTTTCGGGGAACTTGGGTGAGATCCTGGACATGCTGTGGATCTCAACCTAGTGTGAACAGGAGGACGTTAGAATGGAACAGGGAAAGCCAACGGTTTTCCTTCTAGCTGGAGCTCGTCAGCCTTTTTGAAAAGAGAATTATTATTTATCAGCAGGAAAGAAGCAGTTGAGTGGTTTGGTGTGAGAACTCTGGAGAAACCGCGCCCCGCTGGGGAGTTGGCAGCGCGTTGGTCTGGAAGGTCAGCAAACAATGTTTGGGAAATAAAAAGTTCATCTGGAGGCAAAGATTGTATTTCCCAAGGAAGATGAAAGATTTTTCTGTGTGCCTGTCTCTCTGTCTCTATCACACAAACATGAGAGAGAGAGAGAGAGAGAGAGAGAGAGAGAGAGAGAGAGATTGTTCATAAGTGAAACATGGGTCTAGAAATGTTTGTCTTAACTCTCAAGGATGATACTGTCAAGGCTGTCAAGTGTTTGAGAGGACTTGGAGCCACTGGAACTTTCATGCATCACTGGAAGGAAAATAAAATGGTAGACTCTTCAGAACACAGTTACTTATGTACAATCCAGAAGTTCTGTTTGTGCCTAAGATAAATGAAAACATCCACATAGACTCCTCCACCAATGTTAATGACTTTTTCCATGATAGTTTCAAACTGAACATTGCAATTGTCAAACACCCTATGAATGGATAACAAATTGTAGTACATATGCCCCCAAACTCAAACACTATTCCACAAAAGAGACGAATATCCAAGAGCATGGACTACTGTATAAAGTTTAAACTTAGTGAAAGAAGCCAGACAGGAGACTATGTGCTATAGGACTCCATGGGTAGAACTGTGGAATAGGCAAGCTATTCGTGGCAGCAGATAGCAGATCAGGTGGGTACCTGTGGCCAGGGTGAGCAAAGATTGACAGAAAAGGAAAATAGGGATAGTGTGATGGAAATACTCTATATCACGTGTGTTTACATTTGTCAAAACCCCAAAAATGGACCCATAAAATGACTAAACTTTATTATAATAAAGATATCATAAAGGCTGATTTTAGGAGACTGGATGGATGGCTCAACAGTTAAAAACAGTCCCTGCTCTTGAAGACGGCTAGGGGTCCATTCCTAACACCTAAATGATGACTAACAGCCATCCCTGGCTCCAGTTCCAGGGAAATCCAATGTCCTCTTCTGGCGTCCTCAGACATTGCATGACACAGTGCACTTACATGTGTGCAAGCTATACACTCATACACATAAAATAAAAATAATAAATAGGATTTTTAAAAGACTTATTTTAGAAAAGAAGAAACAATATGAAGAAAGAGGCTCTGGTGAAGTGGTTCAGTGGCTGGTGAAGTGGCTCAGTGGCTGGTGAAGTGGCTCAGTGGCTGGCTCAGTGGCTCAGTGGCTGGTGAAGTGGCTCAGTGGCTGGCTCAGTGGTTCAGTGGCTGGCTCAGTGGCTCAGTGGCCGGTGAAGTGGCTCAGTGGCTGGTGAAGTGGCTCAGTGGCTGGGGAAGAAAGGGGTCAGGGGGGAGCAAGAAAGGCACTGCC